TACGATTTGGCAATAAGAAGCCATTTTCCAGTTCAGATTTCAAACTAGATTTCAACTTCACAGCGAAGGATATCATGCTCGAAGCATCCAAGACCGATTCAACTTCATGACGAATGAGTCACCTGTAATTCAACTCAACAGCAAGGAGTCATTATCTATTAGAATTTTTGAGTTAAATTTCAACTTCGCAACGAAAGATATTCGATAAGAGAGCCAATAGACATTGAGTCAGATTTCAATCACAGAGAAAGATATCATATTCACATTAGAAAATTCACTTTAGAACTCTCTTCTTACAGAATGAAAATTTGTGTCCTTTTATCTTTGCCCTATTTTTCGTCATACGATAAATGGGCAAAGAGGGGCAGCTGTAGACACCCATTGTTTTCTGGGACATTAAGGGTTTTATTTTTTTATAGTATATAAATATATATAATAATTTCAAACGTTATTTTTGAAAGTATATAGTATATATTTTGAAAACGTATTTTTGAAAACGTATAATATATGGTTTTGAAAATATTTTTTGAAAACATATAATATATAGTTTTTAAAATATCTTTGAAAATGTATAATATATAGTTTTAAAAAAAATACTTTTTGAAAACGTATAATATATAGTTTTTTAATATTTTTGAAAACATTTAATATATAGTTTTTTTAAAATATCTTTGAAAACATATAATATATAGTTTTTAAAATAATTTTCTTGAAAATGTATAATATATAGTTTTTTTAAAATATTTTTAAAAACATATAGTATATGGCTTTAAAATGTTTTTATATTTTAAAATAAATATAGTATACATAATATATATATATATATATATTATTTATTATATTATTAATATTATTTTTCTTTTTTTTAAGGTCCAATAAGTCCAACAATCTTGAAAAGGTCCAACAAGGAGCCCAGCAGGGGTCTAATAAATCCAACAGTCCAATAGAGGTCCAACAAGGAGCCCAACCGGGTAAGCTTGACCCAGCAAACCCGATTAGAGGGCCTGACCCAACCCAAAAACTATTTAGGATTTTACATCAACTAAGGGGCGTCGCAACTAATTTTAGGCCGTTGGATCTGCAACCAATCCAACGACCAAGATCAAGTCAAGATTTGTCAAATGCTCGGGAACGACCTCAGAACAACCTCTGGGTAACTCGACGAACCAGAATCACTCCAAACCGGACCAAATTAGTGGTCGAATATTAAGGAAGCAAACAACAATTAAATCAAATGAATCTCAAAGAAGCATGCAATAACCAAATCAAAGCAAGTAACAGCAAAACCGGGAGCAAGTAGCCCTCGTAATTACAGCAAGATAACCCTGAAGTGCTCGGTAAAAACCGAGATATCCGGAACCACAAGGTCGGATCCAAGGCTATAAAAGCATCCAGTCCAACCACAAAAAATAGGTATACAACAAGCAACCAAAACAAAAAGAAAAAGCATTATTTCGGTCAAAACTGAAAGGGATCAAACCAACATCTCGAAGCTACAAAGCGAAGAAGCGAACGACCACCTGAAAATCGAAGAATCACATCGAGCAAAGGTAAAGGAAGAACATTCAGGTGTAGATTTACGTTGTTTGGAACATTTTTTTTCGAGATTTAGACTTCGGATTTGGGTTTAGGGTGTCGAGGGGAGCATTTTGGTGAAGCTTGGTTTTTTCCGATCACCGGAGGCGGTAACCGGGCGATGGGGGCTCGTCGGGAGGGTGGTCGGCCATGGGCCAGTCGATATGTTTTGAAAGAAGTTTGAGAGAGAAGGGGAGAGTGATTTTGAGGAAAATGAGAAAATGAGATAAAAAGGGGTTTGCACACACACATATTACATAAATATATATATATATATATATATATATATATATATTGAGGACCATTTTGCAATTAGCAAAATTTTAAATTATGCATGCCGTCCCTGCTGTTTTGATATGTAAATCGTTTTGGCCACTGATTTCAATTTGGTCCATGAATTTCAATTTAATCCACTTTATTATTTCTTTGTTTACTCTAAATTAGTACCCTAACTTTTATTTTTCCCTTACAGCTTCCAATTAACTTCAATTTGATCATTAATTTCAAATGTTTTCCAATTTAATTCTTCTTTAATATTTTTTTAATTTAATACTTTTTCATTTTTCATTTTTGGTTTTTTCGTTTTCATTTTATTTTATTCTATTATTTAACATTAATTTGGTTTTTTAGGACAATTTTGATTGGTCAAAGGTAAGTAATTTGGATCGAACTTTTAAATTTTAAAATTTTGCAATTAAGACAACCGGAAAATTAAATTAGTACCAAAAGGGCAGTACAAAGGTGATAACCCTTCCTTGGCTGTAACCGACTCCCGAACCCGACATATTTCTAGTAAAACGCAGATCAGGTAAGATTAGTACCCTAACTTTTATTTTTCCCTTACAGCTTCCATTAACTTCAATTTGATCATTAATTCAAATTTCCAATTTAATTTTCTTTAATATTTTTTTAATTAATACTTTTTCATTTTTCATTTGGTTTTTCGTTTTCATTTTATTTTATTCTATTATTTAACATTAATTTGGTTTTTTAGGACAATTTTGATTGGTCAAAGGTAAGTAATTTGGATCGAACTTTTAAATTTTAAATTTTTGCAATTAAGACAACCGGAAAATTAAATTAGTACCAAAAGGGCAGTACAAAGGTGATAACCCTTCCTTGGCTGTAACCGACTCCCGAACCCGACATATTTCTAGTAAAACGCAGATCAGGTAAGATGATAAATTGAGGTGTTCGGTCAACCTAATTTTTTTTAAATGATCGGTAACGACTCTATCACATCAAAATTAAGTCGGAAGTCGATTCCGGACCCACTCAAGACGGTTACGACACAGGTATCATAGATTCTTCCAAATTTAAACAAACAGGACGCTTGAGTTGGAAGAGATAATCTCAGTATTCATGCTTTTCATCCATCTATAATTACTCATTCAGGATTTACTTAACATTCTTAAATATTTAATCTGCAAACTGGTAGTTAAGTTTGAATCTTAAAAGCAAAGTTACAGAATTCTTTCTAGTGTTTGTATCTGTTACTTTCTTCACAACATAGACATGAAGAAAAATGCTGAAACCATAAATGGAAGGCAGGGATTTGTGGGGATGATACAAGGAGAAAAGATTATCTCCCTCCCGATGAATTGCCTGTTAAATCAATGGTGTTCACCCTTTAGTTTTCGGGAGCAGTCAACGACGATGGTTCTGAATACATTGCGGAATCCCACATCCTTAGAATATAAAGCGAGGAGACTAAGAAGGAGCATTTAAAAGAAGCTAGGTTGGAGGGAAAGATTCATACCTTTTTCGGCCATTTAACTAAGGTTAAGTGTAGTATCTATTTGTATTAGTTTAATATTTGATACACGGGCTATTAGTCCACATGGTATTAAATTTATGGGTAAAGGTAAATTATGTAATATCGGATGCGTGGGCTATTGGTTCGCATAATATTAAATTTATGGGTAAACTATGTAAATGATCAGGTAATTATGGGTTTAATTGTGGGTCAGGTCGTAAAATGACTTATTTTTAAATTTGTGATAATAGTACTATCGAACTCTTTAAAATGATTATTGTTTTTAAATTTGTGATAATAATACTATCGAACTCTTTAAATGGGTTAAAAATAGTGTTTATGTAGTAGTTAAAAATATTGGTTTAATTAGGACATAGGTCCTTGTAAACTTATGTATTCGTGATGCTGGCACCCGCTTTGTTTTCATCCATTTTGGTCACTTGTATATGATTGGTTTCCTTGGATTTTCATTTAATCCAATTTGATCTTGATTTAGTTTTTAATTGTCTATATGTAAGTTCTCACTTTTATTTTATTTGTTGTCATATTCTCAATTAGTCTAGATGTAAGTTATTTTTTTGTTACCACACTTAAATAAAATAAAAGTAATAATTGAAATAAATACCAATTGAGAATATGACAACACTTAAATAACTAAAATAAATCTAATAGTTAATTATAATTGATTTAAGATTTTAATATTTTTAAACTAAATTTATTGTTTTTCATATTTATTTTTTAATGATAATATATATGAAATTATTAAAAAATAATTTAATAATCAAATTATAATATTATATTATTATAATTAATGATAATATATTTATATTATAGTTAATATTCAAATTATAATCATAACATTGTGACATGTAATAATCCGGATCGGGTACGGGTTGGAGGTGTTACATGACATGTATCACAATTTGATAGGAGAAATAAATTTATTAAATTAAATTGAAATTATAACCTAACTTAAAATTCAAAATTAAAGTTAATCTTGGTGATCAAATTGATTAATTCAAAAATCTAAGGGATTTAATCTACAAATTAATACATGACTAGAATAAAGGATTTTAAAGTTAATGCCCAAATTAAGACATTAGACAAATTAAAAACTAAATCAGGATCAAACATGATTAAATGAAAATTCAAGGAAACAAATCATATATAAGTAATGACCAAATTTAAAGAAAACAAAGCATGATATCAACGCCACGAATACATAACTTTACAAAAACCCACGTCCTAATCATATCATTTTTATCTGCCAAGCAAACAAATCCATTAAATGTTAACTATTTTGAACTCATTTAAATAGTTTAGTGATATTATTATAACAAATTTAAAAATAATCTGACCCATAATTAAGTGGTCATTTATGTGATTTACCCTAAATTTATTTTTTTAGAGCGAGGACCCACCACAAGCTACTGGGGTTCCTCTAGCGTCGCCCAAGCGCTGCACTATGGTTCGGGCCTGGCGCACCCCACCCAATTTTAGCTCAAATTCTCATTTTTGTTTAAATAATCAAGTACCAAAGTCGGGCAGCAAGCTCATATCTAAATTGTAATAATAGCACTCAATCAAGTAGTTTTAAAAAGACTACTGAGCTTAGATATAAGGAAACTGCTCTGTTTAAATTTGCCAGGCAAATTTTGCAGTCATAGCATTTCTGCAATAGATGTTCTTTATTCTCTTGCACACACTGGTATAATGTTTTAGTAGGCCTCTAGACCGATAAAGATTCTCACACACATGGAATGGAAACATACAACAAAAACCCGAAGAAGATAATATATAGAACTCTTCGAAGCCATAGATCGACTACAGGCATGGACTGAATGCATGATACAGGTTCGATGTATAAGGTGCAGCACCTTATTACAAGCCTCCTGCATTTATCACACCAGATATAAGAACCATAAAATGGACATGGTAACAGAGATCGTCAACATTTGGCTCATATTCATGGGTTCATCATATTAAGGAAAAGGATGGTTAGAAACTTTGCTATTATTAACTTACAGTATGGTGCAATCCTCCATATCTGGTTATCTCCCTTGTTCCATTCCCACAACACAATAGTAGTACCACTGTGGATGCCACCAGATTTCTTATCTCCATGGAAAGCATCGATGTTCAGGCGAATGTTATTAATCATTCTTATAGCTCTGTAGCCATCATGGACTTCCTTGCTCTCGCTCCATAGTACAGACTCATCAAGATCTGGTTTGTAAGGAACCAGTTGGACCTGCAGGAAAAGCCCCTTTTAAGCAAACCTTTAAAGTTGATAAATTCAAAAGGTTCTATGTTTTGACCATCTGAAATAAAACAAAACATAAAGATGAACAAACAAATTCTCTCCACTGCAGGAATCAAGAAAGAAAGGGTCGGTGAAGTTATCAGCACTCCAGCCTGCAGGAATCGAAAATGCATGCATTTGGTTTTACCAGATAAAAGAGGGGTATTTTAGCAGTGGAAAAGCTGAACACGTATAAAATTATCAAGAATTGTTCTTGACCGTGATAAGGCACTTGAATATTTCGAGCAGCCTCCGGTAAACTACCCCGATATCGTAACAATCTTATCATAATACTACAATAACAATATGCCACTGAATTGGCAGAACAGACAACACCAACAAAATATCGTGACTCGGATAGTTCCTATGTTTAATTTCTGCAGTATCTAACCAACCAATTAAATCCTAATAAAAGGAAGTGAAGATGGAGCTATTCCATAACCAATAAGCCATATCAATCTCATGATGTAATTTGAAAGCGTATCAACTGTTAAACAACTCAAAACTCAAATCATATCTTAAAAGGAAAAAGGAGGAAATGTAAGAGTTCTTAAGCACAACGAAACACAAAGCAGAAACCCAATTTTCCACATAAGAAGGAACTAACAAAGCAGTGAATGCCATAAAGAATTCTTACAGGATGAGAAGCTCCAATAGAGTGTTTAATGACTTGACCAGTGGCTTTATTAACCAGAGAAAAACTGGGGAAACCCACTTCATCTTTAATCCTTGTGCTGAATTTCTCATCTTTGTACCAGTGCTAAAACAACCACAAAAATCAACATCCAGATCAAAATAAGATCATGTGTTTTGCCCTAATCTTGAGTTACAACAGTAAAAGGGGCTTTTGGGTCGTCAATTAATGAGTTTAATAAAGTCATACGGCTTAGAAATACACAATATTGAGAAAACTTGCAAAAATAAAAAAACCAAGTTGATAATTTTGTAGATTAATCCCCAAAAAGTAAGTTAAAGAAAATCGTGGATCTGCTGATACAGTACCTGGAATTCATCAGAGGGATCAGATGGAGCAAGAATAACTTTACCATCTCTGATCGTAAGATGATAATTAGGATCAGCTTTGCAATAGACTTTAAAAGTAGGTTTGTTGTGGAATTCAGATGGCAAATGAGATCCAGAAGGATGATGATGACCAATCCTTCCATGGCCACTTTCATGGGCAGCATGTGTAACAGATGGTGGTGAAGAGTAGTTCAATGAACTATGTTCAGGCCGGTGGTGGACATGAGTTCCATGGGTTGGTGGTTGGTGCGGAGGGGGCGACGGAAAGCCCGGTTGCTGAAAGTTTGGTGGTGCTGGTCCGTCAAAGGCAGGCTGCTGGAAGTATGGTGGTGCCGGTGGATATGGCGTTGGTGGATATGGCGTCGGGGGAAATGGTCCGTCAAAAGCGGGTGGTTGCTGGTAGTTTGGTGGTGGCGGGTAGTGGTGAGACGGCGGAGGAAACTCATGGCGATGGAGATGCGGCGGTGGTGGCCTTTCTCGGTTGTCTTCATCATCGTTCCTATGGTGATGATTGTGACCGAAAGGGAACTCCATTTCTTCGATTCTGATCGACTTTCTTCAATCCTACCAGCTACTTCCTTTTTTATCTTGGTTTTTGTCGTGTCGAACAGTTTGGCCACTTAACTGTATAAACTTTTACAAAGGTCAATAAATTATCTAAAATACCATTTTTAGATATTAAATTATTATAAATTATAAAATAATCACTAAACTTTATGCAAAATGAACACCATGCCTTTACTATCGTAATCTAGACGACATAACACATTAAAATTGATAAACAATATCTCATTTGATCTCCCAATGTAACTAAAATTTTATTTTGATACTTTTATAATTCTTCAAAATAATAAGTTAAAAAAATCAGAGAATTTGTAAAAAATGTGAAAAATTTATTTTTAAAACAGTAAAAATATTTTTAAAAATTACAATTTTATAACTTTTTAGATTGTAAATTTCTTTAATTTGTGTATACACAGTACTCAATCGAGTACATATAAAAAAATGTTAAATTTAAATTAGAAGTGTATAATATTTGTATACTAAATTGAATAAAAAAACATATTTTAGTGACATTAAATAAATAAATTTACCTCTGACAACATATCATTTTTAATTGGATTTGATTAGGTTAGCTTGCCTAATTGCTGATGCTCTTGTTTTAAATTCTTACCAAATTTCTAACGTGGGATACTCATGGGTCTTTATGGCTACATATTTAGAATTAAAAATGCACCGTTAATCCATTTTTAATTTTTTTTCTCTTAGGGTAAATTACAAATTTCATCCCTTATTTCACTCACTGTACTTTAATTCATTCAATTTTCTCACATAATTTAACATAATATCATTCTTTGTCACTCAGTCATTGAATATTTAATGGCGTTAAAACGACTCCGTTTTAGAAAAATAAGATTTTCATCAAAACGATATCTTTTTAAATCTATATAGCAACTCATTTATAACACAGTTAAATATTTAACGGCGGAGCGACCAAAAAAGCTAATTATGTTAAATTCAGTGAAGAAATTGAACAGAATTAAAGTACAGTGAGTGAAATAAGATATATAATAAAGTTTAGTGATGATTAGTTAATTTACCCTTTATTTTATTAGTTTAAAATTAATACACGTGTAAAGAAAATATTGAATAAGGGTAGAAGATTTTATTCTTCATTTTTTTATTCGAGGGTTATAATTGTCCGAAATATTTTATGTATCAGTGTTCAGTAATTAAATCATCTGTTTTAGATGAAAGTTAAGAAATTCACATTGAGGTGTTATCGCAGAAGTTAAAATGGAAAAATATATAAAGTTATCTTACAAACTAAGAAAGTATGATTATGAAATCTCAATGTTTAGTATTTAAAATTTATTTTACATTGACGATTAAAAAATGAATATAATTCTTTTATTTTTTAAATTATTCGGATTTAGACCTTTTTAATTCAGATCCATTAATGAACTTATTAGGTTTTTTGAGAATTAACTGTTGGGTACTGAATTGATGATGGGCAAGGTGTTTAATTGAATTGCTTGCAAAAATATAAATAAAGAGAATTGAGAGTCCTTGAATGGTAATAAAGCCAAGTAATAGTAAGTGGGTTGTGTTGGAGAATTTTGGGCTTTCCACCGAATGCTTGGTAAAATTGGCCCAATAGACCATGTGAGTAAAAAAAATTAGCACACATTAGGACATCTAAAATTAATTTGAGATTTACGGTAAATGTTATAATATATGATAAATTTATCACATTGAAATAAAATATAATATTTTTTTAGAGTTTATCACGTCGGAATGATAAGTTTCAATAAAAAGAAATGTGTAAAACGAATCTTAATTGTCTTAATAATGTTTCGAATATAATTAAAATATCATAAAATTATTAGCACTTATGTTGCAGAATTATATTGAACTGACGCTATATTATTATGAGTTGTATTCTATTGATCGTGCGCCGTTATATTTATCGAATTACGTGTCATCATTTGACGAAAGGATGTGCACCATAATCGTCAGATGGATTAATTCATATATCTATCCAATTACTTGCATGCTTTAGTTTTTATTATAAATAAATTTATTTAGTTTAATAATAGATTGAATTCATTTTTTTATTTTTTATTTTTTTTTATAAATTTGAACTTTAAAATAAAATTTAATCAAGCTTGAATAACCAATTTCAAATCTTATAACTTTGATTAATTTTGAGCTTCTTATTTTGAAATTATTTAAATTAATCATGTTTTATGAAATTAATGAATAAAATAAAATATTAAAATTTTTAATTTCTTTTTTATGAAAAATAGCATCAAAAAATCTTTAATTCTTAAAATAGTATTTATTTATGTCACATAGGTTAAAGATGCATCTATGTGGTAGAGTATTTTGAAAGTTGGTTTCTTGAGTAAGCTCCTTCTGCTTATGTGTAGATCAAAAATGATATTAGAGTTTGGTTGGAGAAACAATCCATGTGACATGTCAAAAGGTGTTACCATGTTGGCGTATATCTTATGTGACATAAATGAGAGTCACTAAGAGAAATAAAATTTTTTAGATGTTATTTTAATAAAAAAAATTAATGATATTATTTTACTAATTTATCGGTTATACTTGCTAGATGCTATTTGGGTAAAATATTACACCAGGTAAATTTTAAGAAGAGACTGTGAATCTTAAGACATATACTTTGCTTAGAAAGTTGTCGACGAAATGAAACGAAACCTCAAAAGTCACGTTTGATCAATTGGGTTGATTTTAAGTAGTAAGTGATTGTTTAAGGAGGTTTTGAGTTCGAGTCTTTATGTATATAAAAAAATCGTGTTGGGAGACTCATCCAAAGCTAGGTGTGTGAATCAGGTCGATCCAGATTAATCAAGATGAAACTTAAAAATCGGAAGGGCAAAAAAAATTAAAGGCTAAAATGAAAATCAGGTCATATTTAAATATTTTAGGCGTCAATTTGACAAATAAACCTTAAAATTAAACATAATACCAAAATACTGTCCATAATAAATACGAAAATCAAAGAATAAAGATAACGCCTATATTCTTCTTTTTCTTTTTTTCTTTTTGGAAGAGAAGCCCATAACATAATATTTAAATTTAAACTTTTATTTTTCTGTTCCACAAACTTAAATTTTAAGTATTTAATAATTTATGTTGTGAAATATATTATAATAATTGACTTGAATGGTTTTATTTCCTTGGACCTGATGACATGGTGCCTGTACAGTCTCCACAATTGTTATAAATTCAAGGTGTTTTTACTCAAAAATATCCTAACAATGAAATATTACCTATCTGATACCCTTTCTTTAAATATTACTGATCTAACACTCTTTCTAATAAAGCGTGGATCATGAAGCGCGTCTTCGCGAGATTTTTTTTTGAGCTGGCGCCATGCTGGAAAGGTGCGGATCATGAGGCGCGCCTTCGCGAGGTTTTGTCTGACGTTGGAAGGTGCAGATCATGAAGCTCGCCTTCGTGGGATTCCATCTCAGATGGCAATATCCACACCTTTCATTTAAATCCAACCGTCCACCATAAATACAGCTCAATCATTTGCCCGCTTCCCCTCCCTCTCCCCTATAAAAAAATCCCTCCTTTCAACATTAATACCATAAACGAAAATTTTATATTTCTTCCTTCTATCTATCGTTCTATAAAGTTTTAAGAAGGTATAGTTATCATTTTCAGAAGCTAAATTTTTATTATATTATAATCATTTAATAGTTTATTATTTTATTATATTATATTGTACTAATTTTTATTATTTTTTGAAGTTATAAAATGACAGGTGGTTTGTTACGTTTATATGAGAATTATATCTCAAGTCATTTTTCTAATACGGTAATAATTTTAAATTATGTTATTTTATTTATTATGAATGTTTTATTTAGATATTTTTTAGTATTAATTTATATTTTAATTTGTATAATATTTATTTAATTAGGTGAATGGTCGTATATTAGATCCATTTATTTGTAACGTTAAGTTAGAGATATCGAGTCATGTATGGTCGTATTTAGCCGCGGCTGGATTCGATGATAACGAAATATGAAGGGCATTGTAACTTTGAATTCAACCTTATTTCTAAACTGATTGAGAGATGGAGACCAGAGACACATACATTCCATCTTCCGTGTGGGGAGTGTACTATTACGTTGGAGGATGTTTCTATACATTTGGGGCTTTCGGTAGATGAGTGTGTTATTCTATAGAGGTGTTACATCGTCATTCGTCTCTCATCAACAAAATGTAGTTGCTACTGCTACTGTCGCTGCTGCTGCTGATGATGATGAAAGTGAGGAGGAAGAGCAACTTATAAAAGAAATCCTCATCAAAATAGACAACCACCACCCTGTGGAACACATTCAATACGCAAACATCGATAGACTTATTTTTATTTATTTTGTTTCTTAATGTTTTTATTTACTTATGGACTTTTTATTTATTTTATTTCTTAATGTTTTTATTTAATCATGGACATTTTTATTTATTTTATTTCTTAATATTTTTATTATTTAATTGTTTAAATTGTAACGTTTGTATTTAACGTTTGTATTTAATTGTTTTTATTATTTTATTATTTAGTTTGTAATGTTTTTATTTAATTTTCACTTGAGTAGCACATTAATCAAAAGTAAACGAAATGAAATAACACAAATTGAGGCTTCATAAACAACAATTATATTGTCACATCATCAACAGTTACGTGATGATAAAAGATATGAACATTTTTTCCTATTGTGGCCTAGGTTTCTACAATGCCCACATCTTTTGTTTTCTTTGGACATCTCTCGAATATCCATATCATAATGAATTCGAGTGGATTTTGGACTGTAACACCCTAAACCAGTACGAAACACAATTGATCGATCACAATGCCATATGAAACGACCGGATTGGTTAACCAATTTTTTCTTCTAAATTTTTATGTTTTAAAAATGACCATTTGTAACCCCTCATGCTAAAATAAATCAAATACAATTTACATAAAATTGTTTACATTAGGAGCTACAAAAATAATATTTAAATCATACAGACCATAGTTTAAAATGACTTATGACTCATACAAAAATA